GAGGGGAAATTCTCAATTCACCAGAGTATCAGCTTTTTGAAGATGCACGCAAGCTCACAGAGAAAGGTGTGTTTTTTCTCAATCAATGGAAGGAATTTGGACAGAAGGATACGGTTCCCCTTCGTACAAAAGGAAGACTCGATGCAGCTCTTCAGCAGGTGGAGGAGGCAGAGGAGGCGGAGAAAGAAATACAGGAAAACGAAAAACCTCCCAGACAACCATTACCGGAGGGATTCTACGAATCCGTATTTGATGCAACGTGGAGTCACGTCATGGGATTTCCTGAGGACGAAGATGAATACATGGTGGTGCGAATGGAGGTGAGAGAGGGCAAACGGCCACAAGAGTTATGGAAGTACATGAGGCAGATGAATACTTCTTTTTCAGTGAGTGGTGATGAGCAATTCCGTCCACCACGCGTAGAACTCATGATCCTTTCCTCTGAAAAGCTATGGCCGCACTCGCTGAACCATTCAGTACGTATTACCAACTGCTACATTAACATTGAGGTGCATCAGGTGTGGAAGATCGTCGAGGGTGATCTAAAAGGAGTGTTTCTCCCTGCAGAGAGAGGCCCACCATGCATGAGACGCCGTCTTTTGGTTGGAGCCCCCGGGGTGGGGGAGTCAATGGCGGCTGACTCCTACCTCCTTCATCAGCTGCTGCACCACGACGGCACGAAGCTCCATGTGGTTGTGTTCTGCTTTGGAAGGGATTTTGCATACTTGTTTGACAAGAGGACACGAACGGTGACAATATACGAGGGTGAGAGTAATATTAGAGGGGTTATGGTAAATTTGGCTGGGAGTGGAATGAAGGGGTATATCATCATCGATATGGCAATACATTTTCGAGAGCCATCGAATGATGTTGTGCCCTCCCCTGAGTGGGGCATCATTACGTTGTCGTCCCCGCACGAAAATAACTTCAAACAATGGGCGGAGCAGGCGGAGTATTGGAGAAGGATGCACATGCACACGCATGACGTCGGACCGATTCCACGATGCATCTTTCAATTCAATGAATATGAGGACCGCGTGGAGGAAATCAAGGACATCCTGGTACGTATCGACGCTTCAAATGCTGTACATTATGGGATGATTGGAGGTATGGGAATGTACCCTCGAATGACGCATCTCACAAACTTGTGAAAGTTGTCAGAGCAATAAGACAACGCGGTCTTGAGGAGTTTGTTAACCTGCCGGTCTGTTTTTCCATTGAAAACGAATTAATTGGAGGGTTACTCGAAGTGGATGAGGAGAATGACATTGTTTATCGACTATAGACGTACTGTAAAGTGTTATTGCCGGAACTTTTGGAGCGGTGCACTCTTCACGTATTCCTGCGTAGAGTCTTTGTAGAAAATACAGTGCCAGGCCTCAACGAGTTGCCTCCACCAGGACGTCGTCGGCGACAGAGATGTGTGCAGCAATCGAACCCCGAAAAGCATCCAAGCATATCTGTTGGATTAATAACGCTGGACCACGATCCTCCGATGTTGGATGTACAATACAAGGTGCTATACGTACCGGAGAGCAGACATTTTCCGTTTGTGGACGGCTTTTTCTTCGTTGACGCACCGCGGAGGACGATGGTTGCGGTGCAGGTGTGACGACGAGGACTGAACATGGCACCAGAGCCAGCACGGTGGTGCAGTTCAACAATTTTCTACGGAGTTATTTTAATGACTGGGAAACGTTTGCGGAAGGCTTGTCGTGGGAGATCATTTACGTGTAGCATGAGGACAGTACGGCAATAAACGCGTGGCAGCAATGTGTTGTCGTCGTGCACGCAAATGTAACGGGCAGCAATGAGCGTGAGGACCCTCAGGCCATTGCGGCATTTTGAAATCAGCAGGTGCGTCAGTGCCAGGTAGCGGTATCAGCTGAAAATTTCAGAAGTGAACGACAAACCCAACGTGGGCGGCAACCAGAGGGAGAAGGAAAAGGAGGAGGGGAATAAGCAGCTTGAGTTTACTGGTGAAATATTTTAGGGAGTATGATATATTCCAGAGTGTGTTTGTGTGTGGGTAGGAGGCGTACTTAGGGACTCGCTCTGCCGTGCGCCAAGTGATTATTATGGCCAGCGCTACCACAGCAGCACCTTTTTTTTGTTGTGGTTGTGTTGTGGTTGCGAGTAAAATTGCGTGGGGAATGATGGCGCCTTGTGGGTGTACGCCGGCAGTATTCCATTGGTGGTATCCCCTCGCTGTTCCCAGTTTGTTGCTGCAGAGAGTTTGGGCGAGAGGGTAAGTTTTGCATGCTGAGTGGGCTCACAGGCGGGAAAGCAAATGCGGCGGCCACCACAGCCCAGAGGTCAGGGGCAAACCGAATTATTGTGATTGTTTTTGCG